TGCTAAATAAAACTATAAAATATGGCAATAAAGTATCCTATGAACATTTCCCCCAAAGGAAAATGACATAATCTTTTGATTGTACTTTCAAAGTAATACAAACTAAATTCTCAGAATTCATGAGTTTCTTCAATTACATATATCTGTTTATATATGTGTGTATTTAATAGATCTTACCATGGTGTTCAAACTTCAAAGACAGGCAACTCTAAGCTTCTATTTTTCATACTTTTTTATAGTCCAAACTACTAATAAAAGCTTAGACTTTCATTATAGCACTTTTTTTTTTTTTGTAAATATGTGTATGGACTTTTTATGTGTAAAATTCTTTAAACATATATGGACTAAATAAGTCCTTAACAATAAGGGCTTAGGAAAAACCTGAAAATATTTTATGCAGCATTTCTACTGAGCTTCAAGTAGGAGATAATGTTTCTTATTTTAACTTGGTACGCCGTCCTACTGGGAAATTCTTTGCTTTTAACACATAAGATTTCTTAAAGATGGTTCACGTATTCTTGAGCAGATGCAAAGGATGCTAATGGTCTTAATCCATTATAGCACTTTTCAACATGCCTTATTAAATAAATTAATTTTCTGAAGAAATGTGTGTTATGGAACAATTTACCATATTATTGTAAAGTAAATAAAAGAACAGTGGTAAAAAATAGTTATTTAACCTAAGGAAACAGCTTCAAAAATTCTGCATCTCTCTAAATTGCACCGAGAATCTCAAGTGATGATTTAACTGTCTTAGTAAGTGATGATTTGTAAGCCTGGATTACATTTAGAGGTAACACCATACAAATTTAGAGAAAGAAATCCCTACGTAGCAAGTAAATGTACGTACTTACCTTGCTTTAATTCTTGTATAGGTCACATAGTGACATTTATGCAGATAGGCTATATTTTTCATAGAAAAAAGACACTTATTTCCTTTGTAAAGCAACAAATAGTAATTTAAATATCAACTGACTGCACTAGGAGGAACTCTAAATTATCTGGATTTTTTTTCCTGCATTAGATTTTTAGAAAGAGATGAATTATAAAAGGTATTATTGTGGATTTATTCCAAAAAGATAACTTTGGGGTTATTTACTTGGCCAGCATGAAATCAGCGTCATCTCGTCTATTTTCTGGGCATTTAGGACACAAAATGAGAATTGATTTCTGGGTGACAGTCCTGAAACCTTGAAGGAGTTTCATTTATCATAGAAAGATTCAATTATGTTCCTACATTGTACTTACTAAGGACAAAAAGTAAGAGGATATACTTCACAAAAAACTCTTCCAGAATAGTTTCAATAATTTTCAGTTACCTAGATTAATACACCTATAATTTATATCATCCATTTCTCAACAGTCTGTGAAATAAGAATTTATAGTATAACAACAGCTTATATTTAAGAATATTTATATATACTCTCAATGACCTTTAGATTCATTACATAGTCAGGAGATGTCTTAAACTAAAATTTTGAGCTAAGAGAATTACAAACATACTATTTGAATCACCTGCAGTAATGAGTAAAATGAAAGAATCAAATGACATTGTCAACAGGAGTCCCCCACAGCCCCAGGAGACTGTGTTATCTTTTCAGATTCTACAATGTTTCATGACAGAGGTTTAAGGCCTGGATGGGTAACTGGACTACAAGACCCAAAGGTCTGCCAGGCCTGACCTCCTGTGACCTACAGCATGATGACAGTTCCTTGACCAGATTTTGAGGTGGTTTTGCTTTCCAGATTGTGTTCTCAGTAAAATATAAAATAGTTAAAAAGCATATAAATGCAAAATGCCACCCAAAGTAAAGAGTTTTACATATCACGTAAAACTTAAATATGTTCAGTATCGAGACAATGGTGATGTATTTTAAAAAGATGTCAGTTTCTTTTAATGTGAACTCCCACAAAAAGCTTATTCTACAAAAATAGTATCCACTATTTATATAAAAGACCCAAAGCCCTAGGATTATCCCAAGTTATTATGGCTTTACAAACAAACTGTACAAAGCGACTTGAGGGAAAAAGAAAAAGAACATTTAACCCAAGTCTCACTGATTTCTCAATCTGTTCTTTAGCAGAGCAGTTTGCATGTGACACCTCACATGATGGCTGTTCCCCAAATCAGGACAAACTATTAGTGATCTCAGATAAACTTATCAGGATACTAAGAACCACAGAGGAAAATTAAAAACTTAATGTTAGGGGCCTAATGCAACCCCACACAAACTCCTCCTGCTCCTCCTCTTGCTCTCCCTGTCTCTCCACCTCTCCTCCTAAGACAAAGACACAAAGGACTAGTAATCCCACTTCTGAGAAGTTGGTGCCAAAGGACTCTAACTCACCAAAGCCCTCCAAACAAGCTGTGGAATCTTCCCACCACCATATAATTTGCCCACCATTTGCCCCATATAAAAGGAGTCCCTTCTAACTGCCCCCAGGCACAGATGCCACCTTTGCTCTGCCCAGGTGGGTCACCCTCTCCTTTCAATAAATGTTGTCTGAATATCTCTGCTCTAGTCTCATCTTTGGGCATCGCTGCTTACACCTTTCATTTCATATTGGACCAAAGGGTCATTCACTTCTACAAATAGGAAGAAAATTATAATGCTAGATGTTTTTTCCTACAATTTTATAAAATCCTCACATTATGAAGCACTGCCTTCCAGTTAAAGGCCATAACTCAGGTCCTCTCTCTCAGCCTGTGTTTCTCTGCCCTGGTTCACCCTGCATGATTAACACCTTGTCCTCCTTCCACGCCTAGTTCTTCCAGGAAGCTTTCCCTGGCCGACATCTCTTATCACCTTCCTCATCAATTCTCCAAAAATTATTAATTTCTGCTGAGGCGTGCAGGGCTCCACTGTGGTATTCTCTTGCCTCCAGCGTGTATGTGAGCATGTGTCTTCCTATAGACTGGGGGCCTTTTTCAGAATGCCACCTGCATTTCACATCATTCATGTCTGTGTCTCCAGTACTCAGCATGCGCTTCACAGATGCTGGGCACTCAGTCAATATTTGTAATACAAACGAATACATATATGGACACATGTTGATAATTAGAACAAGTGAGACACAGTCTTCCATCTGAGACCAACACATGAGGAATAGGAGCCAAGCAAAAAATTCTTCAGACTGCTGCAACATCCTTCTCTCTGGATTGGTGTATTAGTACAGGCTTCTGACAATGCTCAAAATAGAGAAGGGGATCCAGGAAGATGTTGTTGACTATCCTGATTAAAGGAAGAGTCAGCAGACTTATGAAGTACACAGACCTAGTAACCCAGCATGAGAAGCACAGCTTTTTACAGTACCAAATGCTTTATGAAACACAGAGAAAAATGACCAACATGGAAGGGATTTCTGCCCCATCGCCATTTGCCCTGAAGGACTTCTCTACCTTACTCAAGAGATTCCACTCGGAGGGATGTGTGTGTGTGTGTGTGTGTGTGTGTGCGCGCCCATGTGTGGAGGGGGGTGAGTGGCTGTGCCTTAGTTTCAGAGAAAGAGATGTTTGGACTCCCGGGCCATATGTGATGTATTTTACTATAGAATCAATGTCAAATTGGTCATATCAAAGGTTTGGCTCATTACTCCTTTCCAGATCAGTGTTCCACTGTAGAGACTCTCTGTATTATTCACACACTCAGATCCTTTTACCTCCCCACTTCTACTGGGTTAACACATTTTGCTCTTTTTACTCAAGCATCATTTTTCCTTTCCGCTGGTTATACCAGTTTTTTCAACTGGTGTTCCTCAGCCAACTGGTGTGCCTTGAGGGGATCTTAGGTGTGCTGCAAAAATTTTTAAAGATCATTAATTAATTTCAAAAGAAGTTCAAAGCACAGTAAATATATTATTTTTTTAAACTTTTTTTAAATTAACATAACTTGTTAATGGGAGTTTAACTATAGGTTCAGGTGTTCCATGAGATAAATAAAGTTTGAAAAACACTGGTTTAGACTTCAATCCTCTTTGGGTTTTCAGATTCTAGCAAGACCCCCCTCTTTGTTTGGTTAAAAAGCCTCCCAAGTGGCCTCCAGCCACATTATGTATGTCCTTTAAGTATCCAAAACAAATTACAAATTCCTGTTTCAAATGTTTTCCATCCTTTCTTTTTTTCCTTCCTTTCTTCTCTTTCTTTTTTTTTGTGGGGGGGGGAGATTCTTGTTAATTGATAATACTTAAACTCCTTGGATTTAAATGGCTCTTTCTAACATAGGCCTCTTTATAATTTTGGCTCCAACCATTTTTTCCCAATGTTGGATCCTGCCACTCAAATTCATGTACAAATTTCTCCTATTGCATAGAAAGTCTTACTTTTCTTTAGAAAGAAGAGGCCTTGTCATGAATTTTTGCTTTTGAAATGTGTAATTCCTTTCATCTGAAGTGACCCTCAACCACTTTTCATCTGGAAAGTGCTCATCTCTCAACATCCAGCTAGTCTCCTTTTTAGAAAAGCATCCTCTGTTCTGTTGGTAGAGTACAGAGTAGAAGCTGCATGTCTGTAAAGTGCTCACTTCTAGTACGAGACTGGCCCATTCACTGCCTGTCCTTTCACAGGGTGTGGGCTCCCCAATGGCAGAAGCTGAGCGTGATTCATCCCTTCACACAGAATGTAGAGAACCAATCTTTACTGTTTGGGGGAGCAAGGGTGGGGGTGGGGAGGGGAGTAAAGCACTTAGAACGCAATTCTAAAATGAACAAATGAATGATAACATGCTCTTTTAAAAAAGTTGAAACAATCTCCTTCCTACTCTGTGACACACAGGCTTTGAAGGGCTGGACACCTAGGGCCTTGAGTGCCTTTGTTCCCGCAGGAGGGAGCAGGCATTCTAAGTTCCAAGCACGCCTGCAAAGGAGTTTCAGAACGCTGGCGTCACCTGGAGGTTCCAGGGGCCAGGAGCTGCACTGAGGCTGGGAGGCAGCCCCCGCGGGTGAGGGTCCCCGGCGGGCGAGGGTCCGCGCCTCTTGGAAAGGTGAATGAGCCCAGGACACACCTTGGTGCGCGGAGCGGTGGAGCCAGCCCCGGAGACCAGCTCCAGCTGGCCGGCGACGCGCCCAATGCCCGCGGCCCAGCCAGCCCTCCCGGGCAGGGCCATGCTGGTCAACGTGTACTGCGTGTGGAGGGACCTCTCAGAGTAGGGTGACCAGATTTTAACATCTGTAAGGCTGGACAACATGGCCGGGGGGCGGGGCGGGGCAGGGCGGGGGCGCGAGGCAGGGGACAGAGCAGGGCAGGGCCTGACAAGGCAAACTTTGATAAGCAGTTCTCAGCAATTATTTATTACAGTTTAACATTATAAAATTAACAAAAATAATATAAAACTCTTTTTCTGGCTTAATAGCCGTATGGCGGCAGAAAACCGTATGTATATTCCCTTCTTGTTCTCCAGCCCGTTCGTGCATTCTTTCCAAAAATCGGGAGTTTTTTAAAACGCTGCGGGACGCGGGACAAATTGTTGAAAAGCGGGACTGTCAAGCCAAAATCGGAATGTCTGGTCACCCTATCTCAGAGGCGACCTTCTCTGTCTAGGTCAGCCCCGACTTTGAGCTCCGCAACTTTTGCGTCCTTTGCGAGCTGGAGTCGGGGGTCCCTGCCCAGGAGATACAGATTGTCTTCATGGAGCGACGCCTGGATGACTACCACTGTTCCCTGGGCTCCTATGGCCTCAAGGACAGCGACGTGGTGGTTCTGCTGCAGAAGGACAACGTGGGCCTCTGGCCTCCGGGGCGGACCTCGACCCAGCCCCGGATGGACTTCATGGGCATCGCGGTGCCTGGGACGTCGAGCACCCAGCAGCGGCCCAGCGCTGCCTCGCGTGCATGGCCTGGGCTCTGGGGAGAAGGCGGACATGTACCAGCACACCTGATCGGGCAGATTGTTTTATATTAAACAAGACAACGTGGTTAATCTCATTGTTGGGGTAACACAGTTCCTATTACCAGAAAATATCTAATATTTTCACTTGCTTCCCTATTTTCTTTGGAGCAGACTTCAAATGACAAGATAGGACCATAATACCAGGGAATGATGCATATTTGTGGAGTCTGACGTTTATATGATGTGAGATGCCTTCGTTAAAAAGAAAAGGACACAAATTATAAACATAAAAATAGGTAATAGGGCCTTGGAATGAGCTAATCAAGAAAGGAGGCTTGAAACTTAAACCTCCTTGGCATCAAAGTTAGTTCACCTCTGCTACTGCAGACCTATCCTCCTCCTAAGTCTGAGCTTCCCTGAACAGCACTCTGCTCATGTGCACTCAGGCATGTGGCAAATGTTTGCTGACTACCTACAGTATATGAGGTGCTATTCCAGGAGCCAGTAAGGAGTAAAAAAGACATTAAAAAAAAAAAGATACGGTAGGGAATAAAGAGACAAAGTCTTTATCTGCACTGAGTTTATATTCTTGAAGAATGACATAACATAAACAAAATAAATGATATGATTTCCTGTAGAAATAAGTGAGAATGATGAGCACCAGGCACAGGGCTACTAAAAAAGCAGTTGTTTCTAAAATTTCTTTGCTGAAAAACAGAAAGTGCCTTCTGAATAAAATTTTTTCAATAACACCAGCGTCATGCTGTGTCCTGACATATACAGGGTTGTTGAAGAGACTCTGATCTCATAAAGGAGTTTCATTCTTACAAGCCTTTCCAATTTTGCATGCTTGTCTTGGAAACTCGGTGCACTGTATTGTGGTCCTTTGTGTTCCAAGACATCAAAATGGACAACTCAGGTCGAGTTCTCCACGAAGAGAAGAAATAAATTTTGCAGCAATGAAAGTTTTACAAGCATCATTCTGTATGAGTCTGTCATGGGAGTGCGATCCATTGAGATTTTTCTAAAGTAACATAAGGAACAAATGAGAAACCCTTCTAAGCCATTGTACTTGACAGAGGGCTTCGGCTCACCCCAATTACAAGCAAATTAAAGGCCATGTCAACAATGATGAGAATCTTGGTAGAGATATGTCATTTTGCAAAAGTAAGAATGATTTATGTAATTTTATTAATTGATCTGAAATTTTAAAATCCATAACAGTTTTCATGACATTTAATTTTCCTAAAACGTTATGCTTCAAAATATATGCTGTTCAAGGCCTCTGCATCCAAGATTATGTGAATCACTTAGTAAAAATCAGTATCAAATATATAATAGGTTAAACCCCTCAACAAATGGCAGGATTCTGTCATTTACAAATCCTTTGCTTATCAGCCAGAAAGAATATTTTTTAAAAATGGTCACATGATAAAAGAGACCATTATCATTGCCTGAATCAAATTAAGTTGTATTATAACTGAGGAGAAATATCAATGGTGGTTAGACACAGTTTTCCCCATTTATGCCAGCTTCTTTTTTCATAAGAAATTTCTAAAATATCAGTAATTTTCCACTTGGTATAAAAACCGAGTAGCCTGGTTGTCTATAAGTTTATCAGATGACTGCAAGTTGTTGTTTTTGAAAGCAAATGCATGAAAGTAACCAGAAGTATCAACTGTACTAATGTTGCAGTAATAATAAAAAAAAAAAATGTATACTATATGAACTTACCCATGCTGAGTTACTAATTTCCCTGAAAAGTGCCTGGGCAGATTTTAATACATTGAAATAAAGAGATGAAGAAATAGTTTTCATAAATGAAATTTTTTAATGTTGGAAATAGACCAATGATAACTTCTGTTGTTCTAAATAAATGATCTTAACAGCTGCCCTGGCCAAAGGGGTAGCAACCCACATGTGGCTGCTAAATATCTGAAATGAGGCTAGTCTGAAATAGGATGTATTGTAAGTATAAAGTTCATACTAGATTTTGAAGGCTTAGCATGATAAAATATATTTTTAAAGAAATCTTAATAATTTAAAAATATTTACTAAACACTGAAATGATAATACAGAGGAACTTATGTAAATTGAACCACCCAATGGACTGTAGCAAACTGGTCAACATACAGAGGTGGTCACCATAAGGAACTAGGCCTGCTTACTGATGCTTACAAGTGGTGCATGTCTGGTCTATGAAGATTAGGTCAACTTAAAGAGGTGGTCAGCTATATAGGTTCCAATGTATTTATTGCATAAAATATATTACAATTAGTTTGGTGGATTGCTTTTTACTTTTTATGTGTTTATTAATACTTTAAAAATAACATTGGCTTATATTATATTTCTTCTGGACAATGATGGCCTAGAGTGGCAGAGCTTTGTTCAATTTCAGTTAAGAGCTCTTGGCTCAGAAATTCACTTGGAATTTTCTGATTCTATCCTAAACTCCAAATTTCCAATAATATTAATACTTGCAAATAACTCAAGAAGTAAGTATTCACTTCATGTTGATGATAGGTTCCTGGAAACCTCGACTTTGTGAAAGTATGTCCAGTGAAATCAATTTTTCCATAGGCTTGTTTATATATACAAGAGTTAAGTTCCTATGGCATATTTCTGGTCACAAAAACATCATCAAACTTTTAGAGACCCAAATTCCTTCTAATATTAACTAAAATACCTGTGAGTTACAAACATGCTTAAAGAAGATGAATAAAAACAAGTAAGATCATTATTTATCCAATTTTTGGTGACTCAATGACGGACAGTGGTTATAATCGTGGTGGTTTAGGAAACATCAAGGAATAAATGCAAAGAAACATGGGAGGCACAGCTCCTCCTACTGTGCAATTCTAAAGTAAACAAGAACAAAGACTTGGGCTCCCACATTGCTTTCATACGGCATCATTTAATGCTATGAACTCACATGATTACCTCATACTTTGCATTCATTCATTTACTCATCCATTTTCCAGCCTACTTTTCCAGTTCAGGGTCAAAGGTGGTTGTAATAGCAGCTCAGGGTGCAAGGCAGGGACCAACCCCTACCAGATGCCATCTCATCACAGGGCTCACTCGCACACAGACACACACACTCTCAGACTGGGGCCATTTATTAGATACATCAGACCACCTCACCTGAACATCTCTGGGAGGTGGGAAGAAACTGGAGTACCCTGAGAAAACCACTGCAGATGAGGGGTGAATGTGCAAACTCTACACAGAGAGTAGTCTGGGGAGGGAATCTACCATATAAGGACACAGTGTTGAAAGAAATGCTGTCATTCAAGGACCTGGTATCTCTCTCTTGTATATTCCTTCATTTAATATATACAATCATCTGTATATTGTGGGCACTGATATGTACTGTGCAGATGGTAGCCATCATCATATAAGTATCACATGGTTACAAAAATAATCACCACCATCACTTGCAACCTTTTAGCCCCAGAACCTAGTACAGAAGCAGAGAATGAAATAAAAATGAATAAATACTATATAAGCTACCAAGTAAAGAAATGACATAGTGGATTAATGGAGATTTTTAAGAATCAACTATAACACAATGAAGTAGGACAATGCCACCACCATCATCATCTAAGGATTTAGTCTTATCAGAAGAGTAGGTAAAACTTAGAGCCAGAATTTTAAAAACTTTCTGATACAAAGCTAGGTTAGAGGTGAGCCTGTCTTACTAGAAAACTCTCAAGGGCAGAGATCTAAATGTACCATTAAATGATCAATATAGATTTACTGGCCAAAGACATTTTATAATGGCTGGAAAACAGACTCAGCAAAGTAGACTCAGTTCAACTATTTACTTTTCATATCTAGGATTGTTCTGGTTTCCTGTTACTACGGTAACAAATTGCCACAAACTTACCAGCTTAAAACAACACACATTTATTCTCTTACAATTCTGTAGGTGAAAAGTCTGAAATCAGTTTCAGTGAGCCACAGACAAGGTGTTGGTGTTACTGAAATCACAAGGGGATTTTGGCCGAGGCCTCAATCCCACCACTCACTGCACAGACAGCCAATATTGAGACAAAGAGGGTTGCCAAGGAAGGAAGAAATCTTAATAGGTGAGATGACTTGCTGGGAAACAGGAGAAACAGCCTCAGATCCACCCTCAAACAAAGGAGACTATGGGCCTTTTCAAGAGGAGAAATTAACAATGGATTACTTGCCTGGCAGCAGGTTCTGTTGACATTTACAAGAGACTAAATTGCTGAGGATGATAAATCTTATTCTCAGGAAGTCTGCCCAGGGACCTTCAGCATCTCAACTCCTTTGTCTTGCAGAAAATCCACTATTTCTTAGAAACAACTCAAAAAGTCAAGTAGTTAAAGG